ATAACATTGTATGTCAACTATACTTCAACAAAAATTTAAAAAATTTGTATGCTAACAAATTGGATAACCTAAATGAAATGTACCAATTCCTAGAAACACAAAACTTACAAAGACTGAATCACAAAGAAATAGAAATCCTAGAAATACCTATAATTAGTAAGGACACCGAGTCAGTGATCAAAAATATCCCCCAAAAGAAAAGTGCTGGATGTTATGGCTTCATTGGCAAATTCTACGAAACATGTAAAGAAGAACTAACATCAATCCTCATATTTTCCAAAGAAGTGAATTGGAGGGAAGACTTCCTAACTCACAGTATGAGGCCTAACTCATTCTTCACTACCAAAGCCAGACAAAAACACAGAGACACAAAAACAAAATTACAGACCGTTTCTCTTATGAACACTGATGCAAAAATTCTCAACAATATACCAGCAAACTGAATTCACAAGTATAAAAGGCATTCAAATCAGAGAGGAAGAAATACAATTATTTCTGATCACAGATGATATGATCTTCTATGTAGAAAACCCTAAAGATTCTACACACACATACAAAAGAGCCTGTTTTAAAAGTAGCAGGATACAAAGTCAACACACAGAAAAACAGCTGCATTTCTATACATTAACAATGAACAATCTGAAAAGGAAATTAAGAAAGCAATCTATGTACAATAGTATCAAAAATAATTAACTCAACTGGGGGGGGTGAAAGACTTATACCATAAAAACCAGAACACATTGCTGAAAGAAATTAAAGAAGACATAAATAAATGGAAACACATCCCAGGTTCATGGATTGGAAGACTTAAAACTGTTAAGATGTCAATATTATCAAAGTGATCTACAAATTCAATGCAATCCTTACCAAAATTCCAACGGCCTTTTTTACAGAAATAATAAAACCTATCCTAAAATCCATATGGAATCTCAAGTAACCCTGAATAGCCAAAACACACTGGAAAAAGAGGAACAAAGCTGGAGACTCATACTTCCTGATCCGAAAACTTACTAGAAAGCTAGTGTAATCAAAACAGTATGCTGCTGACATAAAAACAGACATATAGACAAATGGAAGAGAATAGAGACCCCAGAAATAAGCCTTTGCATATGGAGCCAAATGATTTTCTACAAGGGTGCGAAGATCATTCAACAGAGAAAGGGCAGTCCTTCTACCAGTGGTACTGAGAAAACAGAGTATCCACATGCAGAAAAATGAAGTTGTACACTTGACTAACATTATCTACAAAAATTAACTCAAAATGGATCAAAGATCTAAATGTAAGACCTAAAACCATAAAAGCCTTAGAAGCAAACATAAGGCAAAACTTTACAATATTGAATTTGGCAGTGACTGCTTGGATATGGCATAAAACGCACAGGTGATAAAAGAAAAACAGACAAACTTCATGAAAATTAAAAACTTTTGTGTATCAAAAGACATCATTAACAGAATGGGAGAAAATATTTGTAAATCATATATCTCATAAGGGGTTAATATCCAGAACATACAGCAACCTCCTAAAACTCATCATCATCATCAACAGCAACAATGAATCAAACAAACAACCTATTTCAAAAATGGACAAAGGACTTGAATAGACATTTCTTCAAAGAAGATATACAAATGGCCAAGAAGTACATGAAAAGGTTTTCAACATCACTAATCATTAGGGAAGTGCAAATCAAAACCACATGAAAAATCACCTCACACCCATTAGGATGGCTACTACCTGAATAAAGGGAAAACAAAAGTTGGTAAGAAGTGGGGCGCTGGGTGGTTCAGTTGGTTAAGCATCTGCCTTCGGCTCAGGTCATGATCCCAGGGTCCTGGGATCGAGTCCCGAGTGGGGCTCCCTGCTCAGCAGGGAGTCTGCTTCTCCTTCTCCCTCTGCCCCTCCCCTCTGCTAGTGTTTGCTCTCTCTCGCTCTCTCTCTCTTGCTTTCTATCTCTCTCAAATAAATAAAATCTTTTTAAAAAAGAGTTAGTAAGAAAATACAGAAACTGGAACACTTGCACGCTGTTGGTGGGAAGGGAAAATAGTACAGAATTGTGGAAAAGGGTGTGGCAGTTCCTAAAAAAATTAGAAATAGAATTACCATAATATACAGCAATTCCACTTCTGGGAATATACTCAAAAGAATGAAAAGCCGGATCTTGAAGAGATATTTGTACACCCACGTTATTATTCACAACATTATTCATAATAGCTAACATGTGGAAGCAGCCCAAGTATCCATGGATGAACCAACGGATGAGCAAAATGTGGTATATGCATATCATGAAATACTATTTGGCCTTAAAAAGGAAGGAAATTTTGACACATGCAACAGCATGATTAAATCTTGAGGAGATTATCCTAAGTGATGTAAGATAGTCACAAAAGAATAGTTACTATTCTTATGAAAGAACAAAAGAAGAGATACCGCATATAGAGAATATGATTCCACATATGCAAAGTGGTCAAATTCATGAAGATAGAAAGCATAATGGTGGTTACCAGGGAATGGGAGGAGAGGGGAATGGAGAGTTACTGTTAAGGGGGACAGAGTTTCAGTTTTGCAAGATGAGAACAGTTCTGGAGATGGACGGCGGTGGTGGTTGCAAAACAAAGCGATGCACTCAGAGCCACTGAAATGTACACTTACCGTAGTTAAGATGGTAAATTTTATGCTGCAGGTATTTCACTCCAGTTAAAAAAACAAGTGTTATTAAGGAAAAAAAAATCAATTTCTGAATCCCTGGAACCTATGAATGCTAACTTATATGGCAAATAAATAAATAACTTTGCATATATGAGTAAGGATCTTGACATGGGGAGATTATTCTGGATAGTCCAAGTGGGTCTGAAATAAAATCACATGTATCCTTAGAAGAGGTAGGAAGAGAGAACTTTGAAGACAGAAAAAGAGGAGACGTCAAGGACACTAGGGAGGCAGGCAGGGGAATGATGCGGTCACAAGCCAAAGAATGCTGGCAGCCACCAGAAGCTGGAGGAGGCAAGGAGTGAATGCTCCCCTAGGGTCTCCAGAGAGAGCACAGCTTTGCAGATGCCTTGATTTTTGGTCCAGTGAAAGTACTATGGCCTCCAGAACTGTGAGAGAATACATTAAACCACCAGATGGGTGGTACTTGATAGAGAACTCCTAAGATACTCATACAGTGACAGACTATAGCAGGGTACGCTGAAGGAGGAAGAAGTATCAGCATGGGGTGAGAATACAATTTTTGACTTAGACTTCTTATTTCTCAGGTACATGAGATATCTGATAATTTACATCCAATAAACATGTCAAGCAACAGAGCTAGATGGGATTCCCTAGGGAGACAGGACAGCAAGGAAGGGGGCAGGGCCCAGGCTTGAGACCTACAGTATGGGAACATATGGAAAATATGTAGAGGAGGACAATCCATCGAAAGAGACCGGTAAGGGGCATCCAATGAAGTAGGCAGCCTCAAGTCTTCAAAGTCAAAAGAAGAAAGTATTGAATGAATGGTGACCATTGGATGTGTTAATATGGAGGGCATTTGCTGACTTTATAGTAACTCCCTTTGCCAGAGGGGAGACAGAAACAAGACTGGATTGGTCGAAGAGCCTAGGAATAAGGAATTAGAGCATGGAGATGTCCCATTTGTAAAACTGGCTGGTTCTTCTAGTCACATTTGTTAAGTTACTAAAAATCATAGTACAATGTCGAGTTTTACAGAATATGAGAACATTCCATTTGAGACATCCATATTCCTTTCCAGCTTGGAAAAAAGAAAACATATTCCCAAGTGTAAGAGCCAATTGTTGGCTATTGAACGAATGTCCTGAAATTGTCTCGGTTTTGTACAGTGTCTCCAAAAAACGGGTATTAGTTTTAATCCCAATTTGGATATCTGGGATGATTCACTTGTACTTAAAATGAATTTAAAAACCTAGCAGGTAAAAGTAGATGAAATTGGTAATTAATAACACAAAACTAATGAGTGTGTCACATGACAAAGGATTTCTTTTTACTGTCCCCTTTCCTCATATTTTCCTACCCCTAGAAAGCAAACCCTAATGAGAAAAATAACTCAGTCCAAGAGTAGACTATTTTTAATATTGCAAAGTAGAAACAATCATGTAATATTGGGTTATTTTCCACGTACAAAGCGTTTCCCTTGGGATATTATTTCTTTTGAGAAAGAATAATGAGAACATTATTTCTGTTAAGAAAAAAAAAGACATGCAGGCTTTCTTTAAAGACAATATAAATACAATGTTTAAATTCTGGGAGAAACTTCACTGTTTTTCAGACCTAATCACATTAGATCCTTTTATCTGGGCATGCCATAACTATAGATGATCATTTCACATGACTTAATTGGTTTGTAATTTTGATATATAAACAATATGTATTTTGGCAACTATTTTCTTTCATATATTTAAAATCACTAACTGGCCTAATTAAAATGGCTGATACAATTCTTTCCAGATGCAATATTTAAAAATTTAAAATACTCTCTTCATAGGTGAAAATACCTGAAGTGAAGCAAGAGATAGCATCTTTTCCCATTAAAAGATTAAGTCTGTTCAGTTATCAGAATCTTTTTTAAGAATCCCACAAGATTTTCTATTTCTAAAGTAATCATTCACATATATGCATTTGCACATGCAATAAATGTGTATATGTATGTGTATGTATATATGAAATAAATACATTCATGAAATATATATCTGTGCATATATATGAAATAAAACATACCTAAATCCTCCAACAAGTGTTTTTTTTTTAAACATGGACTAACATGTGGAAGCAATTTATACTCTCCCCAAAACATAGACAATCAGATTGCTTTTGCTCTGGTAAGTCCCCGGGAGAGAAGAAAAGAAATTCCTACTTGATATGACAAGAGGTGCTTCCTGGGAAATTCAAACATGTAACTAGAAACAGACTGATGTCCTCGTCATCAGAGAACTGTCAGGGCAGGGGGAGGGGAGCTCGTACTTGGATCGGCTCTGTGTCAGGTTACCTAAATAGCTATGTGCCGGCTTTTCCTCCACAACTTTGATTCTTCTTGCTCCAGCAGGTATCACCAGCACTTCTACATAACCTGTAAGAGTCAATAAAACATGAAATAAATCACGAGTTCTTTTAAGATCTCTTTTCTTAATTGACTTGCCCCCCTCCTTTTTTCCTTTTGGTTTTGGTTTTTGCTATGATATTTCAATACCTACACAAAGAAAAAAAGTTGTATATAAAAGCTGTCATGATTTCAAGTGGAGAAGTTTCTTGGAAAGATGTTGAGTCTATGGCACTATTAAGGGCAAACAGGTAATTGTATGTTATGTAAAGAAAAAAGCCCACTGATATCTCATGAAGTATGAGGGTGGAAAAAAAAGCACAATGGTCCAGCCCATTCAGAAACACAGTAGATCTTGGAACAAAGCAAATAACTTCAGATTTTGTTCATGAAATTCCTTTAAGTTAGAATGTGTGGGGAAGACGAAATGTAGCTGGAGAAAATACAGATGGCGGGATCAGGTGCCTGGGTAGCTGAGTATAGGACAAGAGAGACCAAGCACTCCCTTAGGAAATTAACAAAGGGTTTTGAAACTGGGGCTGGAGACAAGTGTCAGGCCACACCAAGCAATCTGCCGTCACCCTGGAAGATGTCAAACAGCTAGAAGGAAGACACATTTAGATGTTTCTTAGGAAAGGTTTTTCAGCAGAGGTTAGGGATGTAATACTCAAAGTGAAATAAGATAAAGTGAGAAAGAAGAGAGTGTGCAGAAGTCAAAATTAAGACTTCATTTAGTGCAGAATAGTGATAAGGCAGACATCTACTTAGGCTGAATAGTTATGTTTTAAATTATAATACATATGATGCATAAAATAATGTTTAATATTCTTCTTAATATCTGGATAGTTACATATATCTGATCAAAGTCTAACTTCAAAGTTAGTTTTTAAAAGGCACAATAACAAATCCCAGAATTGTCATGTGTTGATTAATTATTCGAATTCCTGAAATTGTTTAGAATTATTGGTATATACCCAAAGGTAGCGTACACCCCACCGGGTGGCAGTGGCTGGAATTCGAGGCATGTGCTTTTCGAATAATAATTTCCACTAGCGAATGCTGCTTATCCAATTTAACCATTTTTAGTAACACCAAACCATACAAGCACTATCACTTTGATACATGAACAAAATACGCAGCAATGAAAATAGAAACAAATGCTTACTTGCCAATTTATACATAGAAGTACAGTAAGAAGATCTGGGCACTCAATGAGCTCATAATGAAATTGGAAAGACAAGGCAAAAATACCTTTTACAAATATGAGTTTAAAAAAACTTCCAAAATTATGTAAAAGAGATCATATGCAAGATGATATGGTTAATTCCCTGCTTAAGAATATAAACCAATGTTTCAACTGTCCTCCTAACCTGGTCACATCATCACTCAAAAGATTCACTGCTATTTTTAACTCACAGAATGGGATTTTTTCTTGTTTTCCTTTTAAATTGTTATATGCAGTACTCATGTTTGAGAAACACTGGCATCAGCTGGAATCACTCTAATTCACAGAACATTTCAGAGAGTCAAGGAAAGCTTCATCAAGAAGTAAACAGATGAACTGTCCCTGAAGAATGGACAGGATTTAGATATGTATAGAAAAAGTATGAGTTTGCTGTATGAAAAGAGAAGTAAGAGAGTCAGTAATATTTTTAGTAACATATCAATAAAATAATTCTGTCAGAGAAGATGTTAGAATATGTCTCTGTGAAAGACATATGCATGCCCAAGACGCTGAATTGATCCATCTGAAGCTAGTGAACATTCTATAACAAGGAACTTGGTAGTTAGACACTGGTTTGGAGAAGCTTTATCTGACAACAGTATGCAGGATACTTAGTGATATAGTTGTGGATAACAGTGTCAGGAGGTTACTGTAAAATCCCAGGAATATGAGAGGCTAAGGAAGAAAATCCAGACGGCCCTGTGAAGAAAAAAAAAATCTGAACTTGACAACCAACAGAAAGTGGGGAAATAAACACTGAACACAATGTGTTCTTATTACTTCTGTGAGAATGCAGCCATAGTTTATAAGAACATGGAAGTCAAGTTTTGGTAGTAATCTGATAAGTTCGACTTTGCAATCTGTACTTAATAAAACCGTGTAACACACTAGTAAAAAATATCTGCTAAGAACTGTGGAACATCTGGAACTCCAGACAAAAGTCAGGCAAGTGGAGTACTTTTGTGAGGCAGTAATATCAGCCATGAAAGTAATTAGAAAAAATGGAGAGAAGAGAAGTGCAGGACTCAACCTAGGACAGCCATCGCTTTCACCAGACTGAAAATAAAAAAGAATCCGGAGAAGGAATAATCACAAGAAGACCTGGAGATCTGGCTGTTTTGGTGCAGTGGGATCCTATGGATTGGATTATCTCCAGGGGAGCCATTGGTCAGCTGTGTCCATAGCTGTACAAGAATCAAAGAGAAAGGTGACAAAGGAGAGCCCATCGGATGTCACAATCAAGAGGTGACTGTTGGGCGCCTGGGTGGCTCAGTTGGTTAAGCGACTGCCTTCGGCTCAGGTCATGATCCTGGAGTCCCGGGATCGAGTCCCACATCGGGATCCCTGCTCAGCAGGGAGTCTGCCTCTCTCTCTGACCCTCCCCGCTCTCATGCTCTCTCTCTCTATCTCCTTCTCTCTCTCAAATAAATAAATAAAATCTTGGGGTGCCTGGGTGGCTCAGTCGTTAAGCGTCTGCCTTCGGCTCAGGTCATGATCCCAGGGTCCTGGGATCAAGCCCCGCATCAGGTTCCCTGCTCGGCGGGAGGCCTGCTTCTCCCTCTCCCTCTCCCCCCGCTTGTGTTCCCTCTCTCGCTGTATCTCTCTCTGTCAAATAAATAAATAAAATCTTTAAAAAATAAATAAATAAAATAAAATAAAATCTTAAAAAAAAAAAAAAGAGGTGACTTAATCTCTGAGCAAAAGAATTCAGTAAAGTATTTGGAGAAGAGGTTAAATTTCAGGATGTTAAGAAAGAAGAGTAGCGAGAGAGAGAAGTAGAGGGAGTAACTGTCAATTCCTATTCGGGTTTAGCAGGAAACTCAGAGATTTGCTGTGCATTAGGACACCAGATATATCTAAGTTCATGGATATATCTGGAGCAATTCTCTGTTACTCAACTGGAATGGCTTAAAGGTCAGATGAGTTTAGACTGAGTTTAAAGAAGGAAGGGAGGGAGAGAAATACTGAGCAAAGACATTCGAAGAGAGATAGCCAATGACTGTGGGGCCTAGATAGTTTTCAATAATGAAGTCATTTAGCACAATTAAGAATGCACTGTTTTTCAAGTTTTTATTTAAATTCTAGTTAGTTAACATATATTTAAATCAATGAATACGAGAGTGGCTATTGCCGAATTTAGCAGTTGGAATAAAGTCTGTGATGTCCACGTCGTAAATTTGATCCTCATGTTGGATAGCTGGCTTTGTACACAGGAACATCTTATTTAATAACCAGGGATCCCATTCTGAAACAGACCTCTTAAGATGCCAACAGCAGTCATTATCTTCATGGTAATGATAATGATAAATGTCACATTTTGAACAACTGCTATGTGCTAGACACTACTACAGGCAATTTACATAAATTATTCATTTAATCATAATGATAACATCCAAGGTAGATAACTACATTTCTCATTTGATAGATGAGAAAATGAAGGTAGAGGGAAAAAACACCATTTTCAAGACTGTTTTGTCAGTAATTAGCTGACCAAAGCTTTGACCTCAGATCTGATTCCACTATGTGCTTCCAGCTAGGACCCACTGCCACTATTGCATAAAATAGAATACATAACACTATTTCTCTCCTTCCGCTATGCCAAACATACAAACCAAAAGTCTCAGACCATGTGTTCCTTATACAGGATCAGTATCATCATCTCTTCTCCTAAGAATAACACATTTTATGCCCAGTTTCTTCCTAGTATATATTGGTAACTATCTAATTCCACAACCAGCCAAAAATACAATTTATCTTTAAAAATTCCTTTAAAAACTTATCCTGCAGCTAGGCAAGTTAGAATGAAAGACATGATAAATGCACTAAGAAAAAAAACCTCCTCAAGTTTATTTTCTAGCTCCAACAAAAATGATTTAGCAAACTCTAAATAGAGCACAGGGACTGAAAACACCCACATGTGTCTGCACATGTGTTACTCATACAATATATACAGTGTGCATGGCCAACTGGACCAAAGAAGCCTGCAATTCCTTCAAGAAATTCTAGGAAGTCCATAAACTATAAGGATAAAATTGTCTCCAGAGAAATGAACACAACATTCTTTAAGTCACAAATAGATGAAGCCCATGATATAATTAAGGACTTACACAGATTTTTGTTTTTCAAACTTACTAAAAAATAATGTTTCGTTATTAATTATGTTAGTAAATATTAATGGATCATACACTATGCTGGTCATGGGGAATATGGTGTTAAACAAAAGTAGTCAGGAGATTTTTCCGCATGATCTTAAAGACTACAGGGGAAACAGAGACGAGTAAATGTAAACTTACAAATGTGATTAGAGCCTCACCAGATGGATACAAATATGGTGTCACTGAACAAGTTGTTAGTGATGGGAAGTGGAGGATGTTCAGTGTTCACTGAAGAAGTGCCATTTGAACTGAGATCTAAGTGACGTCTAGAAATGAACCGAGCAAAGCTAAGAGAAAGCTAACAGAACCGTATTTTTAAATTCAAGGTGCTGGAGGGAGCATGGTGAGTTTGAGCATCTGTAAGAAATCTGGAAAGGAAAGGGACGCTGGTGTGAGATGATCTTGGAGAGACAGGTAAGGACAACACCACGCAGGACCTTATGATCCAAGCTAACAATTCTAGTCTCTTTCCTGAGAGTCATGTGAAACTAGCATAGAGTTGGAAGGAAAAAAAACAACATTATTAGTCTCCAATATTCCCAGTATCTTAGGCATCTCAGACATTTTCCAAATAATAGCTTCCATTAACATGAATTACCAATAGCAAATGAACAAATGAACAAAAGTAGAAATAAAAGTGCAATAAAAACAAAGGAGGTTTGAAGTAGAAATCTGGGGGAAAATGTACCCACACAACTGCAGTCAGAATGAAAAGCATCACTCATTTTTAAACTGGTGTTTCTGTTTTCTATGCTTAGTGGAAAAATAAAGTGTTACTACAACTAAATAAAGATGTCAGTGCTGAATGTGATCAGTAATCTTCAGTGAACTGTTTCCATGCATATTAAATAACCATGCAAGAATATTCTTCAAAAATTCTTGTATCTTTAAAAAATCTCTTTGGTCTTTCAGACTTCATCTGAACTTCTATACTGTAAGCCCTTCTCCACTACAATCATCCTGGAAAGCTTCTTATAATTGTAATTCTTAGTTGGAAGTCTGAGAGGCTATTAGAGCAAAGTATGATTTTTCTAAATGAGTTCTGGCAGATTTTGACTTGTAGGACCTGTCACATTTTTCACAGCTTTGGAGGTTGAGATTTTGATCTGCAATTTACCCTGGGCCTCAGTTATTTTTAGGCTTCAAGATCTTCAAGCTCACTTATCTTTTATTCTGCTGGGGCTATCAAAAAGTTATATTCCACTTCAGAGGGCTGTCTAATTTTCTTTTTTGAAGGACTCTTTTATCCAGAATGAACTCAGTTTTCTTGATTATTCAGACACAAATGGATTGGTCTTTGTATTCAAACTAAAACATTCTTTAGTTTCAGATTTTTTGATATTTGAACAAGAAAAGAACTTAAGATAGGAAACAAACAGATATGTAATAGAAGCATACTAATAATGATGAAAATATAATCATAAATACTAAAGAATGTTGAGAAGATGCCCAGGTAAGATGCTAATGTAAATGTCTGCTTACTCCCAGTAAGCTGGAGGATAAGGTGTTTTCTACATATAAAGCAAACCTTTGGGTAATTATATTTCAATACAAACACTATCACGTTTCGTTGGGGATCACTTTAAAACTCACACTACATGGATCATTCATGGCCATTTCATTCTCACATCCCTGGGGTACCAGTATTTATAGATGAGGATACAAGAGAAGAGGGGCTGACTCCCTACTATTAATGTATCTGGACCGTGATCCCACATCTCCTGACTGTCCCTGCTACCACTTCCACTCTACCACACTGCTACAAACTCTCTATTTCTAAAATCTTATTCCTTCAAATTGAATAAAAACATTAAAAAAAAACAAACAAAATGGAAAGCTGAAAACCTGAAGACTAGTACTCTAACTATAGCTGCCCTAGGCTGTTACAAATCTTTCTTCTCTGTTAGACATCATGCTTTGCATTGGAGAATTAGGTCTGAAGAAACCTGATAACATTAGCCAATGCAAATTAGATTATTCCCTTTCTGCTCTACTTTATTAAATGAATAACAGATGACTTCATATTTACATTAAAGGGACATGGGCTTGTTAGAATCTCTGGCTCATGTCACATGTATCATATGTCATCACGAAAAATCACTCAATCCCCATTACAAAAGTCTTCAATTAAGGAGTCAGAACTGTGATTTCTAAGTCAACTTTAATGTAATCTCTCTGTTCTCAAAGACTGTTTGGATTAGTAATCTTGAAAAAAAAAATTACCTGCTCCTCTAGTATGATTAAAATCCCCTTTAATAATTTTGCATGATTTTCCATTGCCGTTGCATACGCCGCAGTGATCTTCCCTGGCAAGGGACCCTAATAAACCATCGCAGCCAACTTTCTGTAACAAGAGATTGACAGTAGATCATAAAGTGAGTTTTTTTTCCCTTTTGCTTTTTTAACCACTGATTTAGAACAAACCTAGTATCTCCAGACTAGACATATCTAATTGACAAACTAGTAAAATGTCATATTTTCTGGTGCAAACTAATAGAGCAAGCTCATGTCGAATGATGTCATCAATAAAGTGACCAAATAGCAGGACAGTGATGAGGGTATTTTTCCCATATTAAGAATTAAATGGTATCCTAAAGCAATTTGGAAAAACATCACTGAGACAAATGCAATTTATATAAACCCCAAAGGAAATCACATTTCTATTAAATATAATATTATTAATCTACTTCATCCTACTTAACATAGAACAGATATACTTCATTATATGGAAGGCTTCACTTCTTAAGGTGGTCGCAAAGCAAAGGCTAAATATTAAATATTAACTTTGTGAAAATCAAACATAAATGTTTATTTTCACTACAGTTCACGAATAAACTTCTATCCCCATCTGCTTTGGCATCCAGCACATGAATGTGAGTAAGGCTGCTCACAACCCATGGCCCCATGGCCACTGTAAGAAAATACGAACAGTGGGGAAATTCATTTTAATTTGCTTCCAAGGGAATTATGTTAATATGAATTTTCTGGGAAAAAAAATCATTGACTCTTTTCTAGTGAATAATGTTGGTCTCCCATTGATATTCAGAAAATATGATTATAATTTGCAAAGTTGTGCATACTCAAAGGGCAGAATTTAATGTCAATATTGTCAGAACTAAATGGTAACGCTTATTCCGCTACCCTTAATCAAGAAGGAGTTGCAAGAGAGACTGATTTATAATGTTACAATTATTTTAGAGGAATTTTTAACATCTTAAATAAAACACGAACAAAAACAGGGTCCTTTTCTGTGGTTAGTGTTGGTAGTGTTCGGGTGGGGGAAGAAAGCAGATTATAAAATGCAGCTGCATGATGAATATCCTGAGAAAGCCCAAATCACATTAAACCTGCATAATATAGCATCCTTTCCTTTTATCAAGGGGATCTATCAGTGTCAAGAGGTAGACAAAGCAATGCATTAGTGGAGAAGTTTGATCTGCAAATCAAAGCTTATTCAGAGAGAAATAAAGAGAATGTCATGGATGAAAGAGGTGGCCACCACAGGAAATTCTCAAAATACAACAAAGGTACTGGAAGAGCTCACTAAGGAGGAGCCATAAAAAGACCTGAAAAAAAAAAAAATCTCTCATTTACGTACAAATGAGGAAAAATTGACAGTAGAGTGTAGAGTGGTCTTTGAAATGATAAAAACAATAATAATGCTCTATCCCCAGCTGTTTCTTGGCAAATACAACAAACCCAAGAAACAGTAGCTAAATGACTGAAAAATTAGTACCTACTAATTTATTAGTTCTTTCCAACCCTTGTAACTGGGATATTACAAGTCTGTAAACCTAAAATAAAGGCCAGGGATAGACATGATGTCATGGCTCAACAATCATGCATTTAAAAAATAAGAATAAAAGATTTTTTATTTTGGGGGTGCCTGGGTGGCTCAGTCATTAAGCATCTGCCTTTGGCTCAGGCATGGTCCCAGCGTCCTGGGATCGAGCCCGCATTGGGCTTTCTGCTCAGCAGGAACCTGCTTCTCCCTCTCCCACTCCCCCTGCTTGTGTTCCTTCTGTAGCTGTCTCTTTCTCTCTGTCAAATAAATAAATAAAATTTAAAAAAAAAAGATTTTTATTTTGTAACTGACAGTTTCAAGTATCCACACTTATCACAATATGCCCCCGTATCTCCAAAAGTTGAGGTTGAAGGACTTTGCAAAGGCAATATCATCGCCCTGGTGGTGGGCACCCGAAGTACCACCAGCATGCTGGAGTGGGCGGATAACATGATAATACAGAAAAGGGCTTTTTCTATCCTTTTCCACGACAGAAATATAGAGACAAAATGGGTCGTGAGGAGAAAGCTATCTATTTTCAACTGCCCTCCTTCGTCCCTCACCAAGTTTACAATTCTACATTCAGTTTTGGTGCTGTGTATTTTGTGTAGCCAAAGCTGAAAAATAGGAGCTTGTCAGAAAGAAAAAAGAAAGTAGCATGGTTTTAATTATATTCGAAGACAGAATGTAGCATTTTAGTTAAAAAGCCAGAATCTTGAAGTATTCCAATTCTGTCAGAAGGCACAATCTAGTTCATGGAACTTTAATTATAACCATCAGATTCACCAAGCGGTTAGGCAGAATTTTGTTGTTGTTGTTACAATTTTGATGTCTAGGGACTCTGTAAAAGATCTGGCTTACACAACACTGTTAAGTGAAAAGAATAGCAATTTAGGCTATTGTATTTGGCATATACAGTTAGGGAAATACATTTTTTTGAAGAACAAATTCATTGAAGACATGCACTAATCTGACAGACTTACAATAATGATGAAATAGAGTTAAAAGCTTTAATTGCACAACATACAGGTCTGAAAACAAAATATGTATAGGTAAATGCCTGCAATGATTTTTTTTTACAGGAAAATGAAAAATTACATTTCAGGTTACTGATACAGGCTGTTAAAGAATAAAGGAAATTAAAATGTAATTATAAGACTGCTTCTTATGTCAATGGTATTACAGGATTCTGTGCTTTAACCTCTATAACAGAGGTAAAGGTCTATGATTCAACAGTCTTACACAATTCACAGCTATGGTGAGCGCTGTGAATTGTGTAAGACTGTTGAGTCACAGA